CCTCGGTCTCGATCTATACAACCGCCAGTCGGGGGTATTGTGGGCGGATCGAGTCGCTACGATTCGGAGACATCTGCCGTCTGCCACAGTCATTCGCTGTGTTCGGATTATTCCGGCCTTTGGATTTGGATGTCTAACCAACATTGGTTTGCGGGAGTTCTTCCATGAACAGTGTGATTGATCTGTAGTCCTAGAAAGCGAAGCTGGTAGAGCCCACATAAGCCAAGTGATACATAGAGTTACATGAGATATGAGTTGAAATGATAATTAATTTTCATTGCGCCTATATGTTTTCTACTCTCTAGTATCATTCAAATGACGTGTACCGTCCATAAGGCGTGCAATCGTTACAGCTTCCCGTAAGGCTCTCCCAACATGGCCGCGCACCCCAGCTTCCTCCATAACCATCAAACCTCCAATGGTACATCCTTCAGGCGACGTGCCCTGATCTCTCAGGACTGCCGGATGCATGCCACTTTGCAGAAGGGCTGCTGTTCCGGTCATAGCCTGAACAGTCATAGTCCGTGCCAGGTCTCTCGGCACGCCAACTGCCACGGCAGCATCAATCATAGCGTCGACGATCACGGCAAAGAATGCGGGAGTCGATCCGGCCACCGCCGTCGTGGCATCCATCAAGGTTGGGGGGATGTGCACTGTCTTCCCCAAATTGTCGAAGACCGCATCTGTGATCTGCTGGTAGTGCTCGGGGACCTCTGGCTCTGAGATCTCGATGGCTGTGAGGCCTTGCGAGACCGATGCAGCAATATTAGGCAGTGTGCGTACAACCCATGCTCGACCGCTGGCATTGCTGTTTGTTGTCGGACTGCCATACAGGGTGGTCTCAAGCTTCTGCCGGGTCCAGCCAGCAGCGACGCTGATGAGGAGCTTGGTCGATAAAGCCTCACTGAGACCGGGAGTTGACAGCACTTTCTCGACCACAGCGGGGTCCACGCCCAAAACTACCACGTCTGAATCTTGGACAGCCTGGATGTTGTCTCGCGTAATCACCAAGCTTTGTGAGCGGTTGGGGAATTGCGCGGCCAAACGCTGCTCGGACTCTTGACTCCGAACACATGCAATAAAGCGGTTGAATGGCGCGCTACCCTCTTTCTCTTTGGGGCCATCGATTAAGCTCTTCAGGATGGCTCCTCCTAAGTTGCCTGGGAGATGTTTAGTTAAGTTGCCATGGTCGCAACGGAGAGTTGTTATTTACCGCAGCCAAGAATACAAAGCGTAGAATTCGCCATCTTGATCAAGGTTGGACAGTTGTGAATATTCTTCCTGCGCAGATTATTATCTTCAACAACAAAGGGCTTTTTGGACGAGAGTCCTTAGATAGTGTGGGTGCAGCCGACGGGATGATGTTGTCTGGTGGAGTTCAAGTCGGGCAGGCATCCGAACCGATAAGATAAACCAACGGCTTTGGACCCCGAGCCACGGATCTTCATCGACGGATTACCCCTCCATGATAACGCATATCGGTGGTTCCTCTCATTACGAATTAATTCTACAAGTGAACGGTGAGTGAGGGGGCGAGTGAAGCGGGCTTTGTGGGACTAGGGCAGGATACGCGACAAGATATAGCCAGTTCACTGAGATAGATAGATTTAGGTCATGATAATCGTAAAATGCATTTCTAAATAGTAGGCTACGCTGAGAATGTAAAAAGTGATTTCAGCCTTCTTCCGATCTCCGTCTTCAATGCCTGATATTCATCCTTTGTCCTCGACACTGCATCACGGTTCTCAATCGCGCGCCGGAGGAGATATGCCAGACACTCCCCCATTCCACCCCATGTGGAGCATTTGTAGACTTGGGGAGACCCATCGGGCCCCTTCAATTGTAGTAGACTAAAGCTGACATCGTCCGACATGCCGTGCAGCTGTGCGAAGCCAACAGGTACGGTGGGCAACTTGGCCGCGAGACGCTGCTGGTGTAGATGATGAGCAGCCATCACGCTTTCCTTGTTGTGGCTCGCAAGGAAGAGGTTCACGGAGGGGAAAGGACGACCGTTACTGGCTCCAAACTCGCCCAGTTCCTGTCGCAGTGCCCCCTGGGCAATAGAGTTATATGCGTCATCGGTGTTCTGCTTTGTATCGTGAATCAAAGATCGATCGTCGGAAGCCATATACGCGCCCCGTACCAGCTTGAGTCCAAGAGTGAATCCTTCCTGGCTAGCAGCGGTGAGATGAGTGGCCAGAGTAGTAGGGGTGCTCTTGAGATAGGCCTGGTAGGTATTGTAAACGAGTGCGTATCCATCCCGGTTGTACTTGCGCATCATCTCGATCGTCACGCGTGCAATTCCTCGTTGGAAATGTTGAGATTCAGCGTCAATCAGAATGCGAGCTCCTTTGTCTTTGCACTTTTGGCAGATTTCCTCCAGTGCTTCAATCATCTGTACAGGAGGCAGTTCACCGGCAGCGAAAGCTTCCGTCACGGCTGGTCCGGCACCAGTCAACCTGGAGAGTCAGCAATACGTTGAGTAGGAGGTTGTCAAGTGGTACCTACTTCATAGCCAAATAATCATCTTCGCCGAGCAGGTCGACTGTCTTCACTGTGCCCTCGCGCCACGCCTCGATATGCTCACAATATCCCTTCCCAGCGACATCTTGCCCATTTCCTTGTTCCGTGGTGACACCGAGGCCTTGTTGACTCTTGGTTGAATGATCAAAAACAGTTTCCTTTGCGTATGTGAGGAGCGTGCCCCGAAATCCCAGATCTTTGAACATCTGCACGGTGGCCTGGGTCTCTCTGCCATTTTCACCGGCGCAGAATTGCTTGTAGAAGGTCCATTTGAGGATGGTGTGGAGAATGATATTGCGGTCTACATCCAACAGAAGGCTGTTTCCGGACTTCGACAGGCGAGATAGAATCGAAAGAGAGGGTTTGAGGAGATATGGCTTCGAGGTGATAGCCGCTACCAGCAGGGATCGCAGTAGCATGCTGGTCGGTAGAGCTGACAGAGGAGGAAGGGTGACATTGGGAGCACTCTTGGTTTCAGCCAACACCGAAGTCGACACGGAGCGTACTCTTAGTCGGCATTTGCCAACATTATTGAGTGGTGTGCCGACTCCACATCGTGATGTGAAGGTTCCTAGGGTTGCGAGTGGCGCTGCTTTGCCAGAATGTATAAGAACCATTGCTTGGGATGTTCGTGATATATCGGGCCCAAGCAACAGAGAAAGTATCCAGCAATGATCATATACCGATGGTTGTGTCCCTTCTGGTAGTCAAGTACTACGTCTATATATACGTATAGGGCATCCTTACTTATCATCCACTGACCCGGAAAACCATGGTCTCATGATAGTCTATCGGCTGGCCTCCCGGGGTAGAGATCTGGACAAAGCTTGCGACCCCCGCGGGGTCATTGATAAAGAAGCCAAACCATGGTTCTGGCCCACAGATACGTGTGACATGACTGGAGCATTTAGCGGTTCGATGGGAAGCTCTCCCGTAGATGCGTCCCCCTATCGGTCACCCACGCCGACCTTGCTAGTAGACGGACTCTGCATCTTTCATCGGATTAGAATCTCTAGCACCGACTGAACGTGCCAGACGCAGGATCCAACCCTATCGAGATCATTCTTTTGGTTATCTCTTTCTGTGGAGTAGAAATGCAATAGAACACGGAACTACGTCCCGCGAAACTTCACCGGCATGTTGTTACAAGGATGTTGATCGATGTAACATCTATGTATGGCATACATTGAGTCGCACAACCTTCATGGGTGATTCAGGCTCTCGACGTACATACTTACACTCTCGAACGTCAGTGAGATATTAAGCCATCGTACCCCCCAAAAATGGCTCTGTTCACAGGTTCTGCTTTCCAAAAATGCAGCTTGCTACAATCAACCCTATGAGTGTTCCAGGGTTTGTTTTTCGAACCCGTTTACCATGGCGTCTTCTACCATGTCTCCGCTGGTATCCACATGCATCATCCCTTGATAAACATTCTTCGGTGGGTCTCGATACGCACGGGGTTTCACTGCCATATTGGGACACGGCCCTATTGACTCTATGAATCCTTCTCGTCTGGGTTCTTCCGAACTCGACCAGGTGACACCGGCATGGCTTCCCGCCATGTTATGAACATATAATTGCTGCATTTCTATGATAACAACAGCTCGGATTGCCTCTAATCAGGACCAATAGTAAGATTATCTCGCAGTATATGTGTCAAAAGGTGTCTCAGCCATTGGGTGAGGAAAAGTTCCGTGGTTTCTTGGCCGCCATCATTTTCCTACCGCGTCTGGTAAAGAGATCCGGACTTTCCGCCGCTGGGCCTACGGGCATCGATCCGACTGAGGTTGAAAGAAGCGCGAATGCTGATTCAAACCCTAAGAGCTTAATGGCTCGCTAGTTCCCCATGCTAACTTCGGACATATATGAGGATCACCGCCGTACCACACAATTCTCCCCAGATGCCCAACGAAGTATAGAGCAGGAGAACGGAAGGGCCGGATGGGAGGTATTCAGCGTTCAGGAACATCATTCGAGGTATCATTCTTGCTGGTGATAACGAGCTCCACCAATGTGACGTTTCCCCGCAGTCTTTTGGCGATTATCATGAATTATCATGAAAGGTGGACCACGGGTGCCTTCCCGGGACCCAGCAAGCCGCCGAATTACCTGAGACACTGATCATCGGCTGCGTACCCGATGGTTGATCTTGCCCGCAAAGTGGGTATAGAATTTGCGGGGAAGTCTCGAAATGACGATAAGGCATTCTGTTATGCTATGCAGAGCATTGAGGCTTCATCTTTCATAGGTGGCTGTGTCATATTAGCCCGGCCGACGCTATGAGATACTGGCCCGCTCCGCTTGCTGAAATGAAGCGATGATAACGACGGATCCCTGCGCTAAGCGAAGCTAACGAGGATGATAGACAGGTTTAAAAAGGCTACAGTGTCCCACTTCGGCGTTGGGACTCTGAAATGCACTTGGCGCTGGTTCGCACATATTCCTCATGATGTTGAAAACCAAAGAAGACCCTAGTGAGCTGGCTCCAGTTCCTTCCCAGCCAGGGGAAGTCCGGGACATGCCGACCTATGTGACCGATGATGTGTTTGGCGAAGTCACCGAGAATGGCCCCAACTATCGTAATGTACGCACCTTGCGAAAGGCACCATGTCGGACACGGACTGACTCTCGGACAGGTTGGATGGATAGGAACAGTCGCGCTCATGATGAAGTCTCAGATTGGCCTGGGGGTCCTATCCATTCCAACCGCCTTCGACACATTAGGGATTATCCCAGGTATCATCTGCCTCTGTGCGATTGCTGTGATCACGACCTGGTCGGATTACATGATCGGTGTTTTCAAACTTCGTCATCGCTCTGTCTACAGCATCGACGACGTTGGTGCGCTCATTTTTGGTCGGATTGGCCGTGAATTTCTGGGGGGTGCCTTCTGCCTTTGTATAGCTATCCGCCCATGGATAGGGGAAGGCCACTCGCTGATAGTGCATTAGATTGGATTTTTGTGTCTGGCTCCGGCATGCTCAGTCTCTCCATCGGTCTGAACGCGGTCTCCACTCATGGGGTATGTACTGCTGTCTTTGTGGCAGTGGCTGCGATCCTTGGATTCATGTTCTCCAGCATTCGGACCCTCGGCCATATCACCTGGCTCGCGTGGGTCGGGCTTGTGTGCATCCTGACCGCGAGTAAGACCTCACTTCCCTCTTCGCATCCTGTGGCTCTTATCTGACAACCTGACCAGTCCTCATGGTGACCATCGCTGTGGGTGTTGAAGACCGGCCCGCGTCGGCACCGAAAGATGGCGTTTGGGTGTCCGACTTCAAGATCGTCAACCATCCGAGCTTCAGCGAGGGGATCACGGCGGTCTCCTCCCTGGTCTTTGCGTACTCCGGCACGCCCGGGTTCTTCAATATCGTGTCCGAGATGCGTGATCCTCATTATTATACTCGCGCACTGCTCATCTGTCAGGCGGGAGTGACCGCTGTTTACATTACGATCGGCTGTGTAGTCTACTATTACTGCGGGTCGTATGTGGCTTCGCCAGCCCTCGGTTCCGCTGGACCGACTATGAAAAAGATATCTTATGGCTTTGCCTTACCGGGGTTGCTAGTCACGACCACCCTGGTCACCCACGTAATGCCCTTTGCATATAGATCTCTGTACGCTGCATGCACTAACGGCTCCGTAGATCCCGGCAAAATATATCTTTATCCGCATCCTCCGAGGGTCCAAGCACCTGACAGCCAACAGTGTGATCCACTGGGGAACATGGCTCGGCTGCACCTTTGGAATCACCCTCATTGCCTACGTGATTGCGAGCGCGATCCCCGTCTTCAATAGCCTTGTCTCGCTTATCGGTGCATTACTAGGAACCCTCATGTCATTTCAGCCCATGGGTTGTATGTGGCTGTACGACAATTGGAGCAAAGGTAAACAACACAAGTCACTCCGGTGGATGTTGATGGTCTGCTGGAGTGTCTTTGTCATCGTGATTGGAACATTCCTTATGGTTGCTGGTACGTATGGATGCATTGTGAGTGTGATTGATACCTACAACGCATCTGGTGGATCCGCCGCTTGGTCGTGCGCCGACAACTCGAACTCAACATGATCTCTGGGGGAGATTTCGGCTTTCTTTTTGAGACATCCTCTACGAGTTCAAGATATATATACATGTGCGTCAGACAATTTCGTGTAATCTAGAGCGTAGGCTCACGCCTCTAAAGTGTGAAGGAGGATACGTCTGGCGTTTTGCAAACAAGCCGTAGCAGAAAAACACTGCTAGAATAGAAGAAAGAAACAAAATGTTTGAAA